TGTGGGGTGTTTCTTATTCGACACACTCTCCCCGTAACCCCTCGTTTCTTATGTAGTAGGGCAGCGGTCGCCGCCGTTTCTTATTGAGATATTTCTTATTGTGTGACCCAAGCGTGAGCCATGTTTGCCAACCCTATTTTCTTATTTTTCGTGGAAAACGAGCCTGTATTTCTTGAAAAAATATTCATAATTGCGGGCGCCAACTGTAATAGCGCTGCTGTTGTATGTATATCGTAGATCTCATACATAGTCTATATATATATCTTTTTTTTCCTCCCGTCATTGGATTCTGTCGTCTGCTCCTCTGGCCCTTATCCTCCACTTCTACCAGCTAGACGACCCAACCGGGGTCACACAGGAGGGGGGGGTCGGACCCGCTCCTGCGGTTCCTGCCTGAGATATTTTAATCGCGAGAAGGGTTCAGCAATCCCTTCCCTCGCGACTTATGAAGTCGATCAAGTTTACAAACAACGCGCTTTGCAGCGCATTGCTTCCAACGGAGACCGGGATTTAATTAGTGAGAAAAAGCTCACTCTGTCAGGACTCAAACCCATGACCTAGCCCTCAGCAGGCTGCGAGGTTACCCACTAGACCACCGGGGAGACCGATATATGTGTCGGTTGGAATGTCGGTTCGAATGTAAGGTACGTATGTGTATGCGGAGGAATTTCTCTCACAGGTAGCTCTGCGTGGTTCTTGGTAGCCGAGTGGCTCACTCTCTCGTGTGATCCTTCCGGATTGTATTGGCCAACTAAGCGCCAGTGTTCCAATATCTCAATATCTTCTTCACTCCGTGGAAGGACTCTCGTCTTCCAGGCTACCCTCTCGCACGTGTCATCACCTCGACTAAAGTCGACGACACAGCCTCTACGCCACCCTGCCAGGGTATTACACAATATCCATAATAGGCTATTGAGCCACGACTGTGTATGACTGGAGGCCTGCGGCGACTGCGTCTTTTGCTGGTGTCGAGCACTGTGCAGCACACACACATCTTCCAGCGTGGGTATTCTCCGCGGGGAGCTATCGTCGGAGTCTGCTTTCTGCTGGAGGTCACACTGAGTCAACCCGCTTGCTTATTGGGCCCGGACTGATCACCTGGGTTCTTGGTTGCACATTTCGGTACGATACTGTGTAAAGGATTCGGGGGCATAATTTCTAGGCGTTGATTTCGGTCGGCGAATAGAGTTGTGCAGGTAGTTGGTTCTGCGTGCGGAGTGCCGTCCTTGGTGTTCTGTGTGTTCTTAACTGACTACCAAGATCTTCTGCGCGTGGTCCTTCGCGAGGCGTATAGTCTGTCCAAGGTGTCTCCCACGTGCTGAGTTGCCAAGCTTGGTAACGTGTGCAGGCTGAGGATACGACTGCTAGCTGGTAGCCGACTGCTGCTACAGCTACACCCACGTGATCCGCTCACGTCGGTTCACCTGCGCGTTGTGCTATACGCGAGGTACGTCTGTCCAAGATATCTTACGCGTACTATGTGTATACCGGTGCGGGTGTAGGTTTAGGATCTGACCAGGCCTGTTTGCATCCGTGCAGCAGCCACAAGTCTGCGCTGAAATACACGTAGAAAGTCTGAGCAGTACATCTGACCCGTGTGCCTGCTGGACGAGGCCGGAGTTGGCAACTTCGTCGCCGCAACACCGCAGCCTAGCCACCTTCACCTGCGCGTTGTGCTATACGCGAGGTACGTCTGTCCAAGATATCTTACGCGTACTATGTGTATACCGGTGCGGGTGTAGGCTTAGGATCTGACCAGGCCTGTTTGCATCCGTGCAGCAGCCACAAGTCTGCGCTGAAATACACGTAGAAAGTCTGAGCAGTACATCTGACCCGTGTGCCTGCTGGACGAGGCCGGAGTTGGCAACTTCGTCGCCGCAACACCGCAGCCTAGCCACCTTCACCTGCGCGTTGTGCTATACGCGAGGTACGTCTGTCCAAGATATCTTACGCGTACTATGTGTATACCGGTGCGGGTGTAGGCTTAGGATCTGACCAGGCCTGTTTGCATCCGTGCAGCAGCCACAAGTCTGCGCTGAAATACACGTAGAAAGTCTGAGCAGTACATCTGACCCGTGTGCCTGCTGGACGAGGCCGGAGTTGGCAACTTCGTCGCCGCAACACCGCAGCCTAGCCACCTTCACCTGCGCGTTGTGCTATACGCGAGGTACGTCTGTCCAAGATATCTTACGCGTACTATGTGTATACCGGTGCGGGTGTAGGCTTAGGATCTGACCAGGCCTGTTTGCATCCGTGCAGCAGCCACAAGTCTGCGCTGAAATACACGTAGAAAGTCTGAGCAGNTTTGCATCCGTGCAGCAGCCACAAGTCTGCGCTGAAATACGCGTAGAAAGTCTGAGCAGTACATCTGACCCGTGTGCCTGCTGGACGAGGCCGGAGTTGGCAACTTCGTCGCCGCAACACCGCAGCCTAGCCACCTGCGGTAGGTCATAGCCGTGCTCGTAGTAGCGCAGTAGTCCGAGCGGACACTACATCGCTTCCGCTGGACGTGGTTTGTACGCTACAACGCTGCGACCTGCACCAAGCCTACCTCTGTGTAGCATAGCACCGTTTCGTTCTGGCGCGTCGAACCTTCGCAGGTAATCGAGGCGTCCTACTCGTGCTGAAAACCGTATAACGCTCGGCGTGTGACCCTGGTTTCCGTGATGGCGGAATCATCGAGCTCCGGGCTCCACCGCATGCTGCACTCCATTGGGAAATGCGCGGGACATTCGGGTTTTCGCGAGTGGACGATAAAGCTTCGACAAGCAATCATCCTCCACGCGCCGGAGCTTCTCCCCGTCCTCGACGGAAACGCGCGTCCTTCGGCGACCGCGGCGAACGCGGAGGATGTGGTCGCGTGGGACAAGGCCAACGGTCGCCTGTTCTCCCACCTCTTCTTTGTGACCTCCGGGTCTGCGCAGCTCACTGTCCGCACTCACGAAGGGGCGGCGGATAGTGACATGGGGGATGGGACGGCGGCCTGGACAGCATTCAACGAGCGTTTCGATGCTCAAACCCAGGAAGCTCGGCGTGCGTGTCACAACGAGCTATTCAACCTGGACACCTTGCGGGCGGTGATCCCATCGACTTCTTCACAAAGGGGTAGGATCTCAACCTTCGCCTTAAGGTGCTGGGGCAGGAAGTGTCGGACCCAGTCTACCTAGACATCATGCTCTCAGGCCTGAGCAAGGCCCCGGAGTTCAAGTTCATCAGGGAGATGCACTAGCGCGACAATTTTCTTCAGTAGACAGTCTCCAGGCGACGGCTAACCGCTTTTTTGTGGATCAGCAGTCGCGCAACGCGTCGGGCCCCGTGGTCTCGGGCCGGGGGGCTGCGATGGCGGTCGCTTTCGACACCGACCAGTGCCGCCGATGCAAGACGTACGGACACTTCCAGCGCGATTGTCCCCAACAGATCCAAAAGAGCCGTCCTAGGCAGGGCAAGAAGAAGGGAGCCAACAAGCGAGGAAGTGGTGGGAGTGCACAGCCAAAGTGGTGCTCCTACCACAACACCAAGGCACACAGCGATGCTGAGTGCGAGGAGCAAAAGGAGATCAGGGAAAACAAGCAAAAGGAGCTTGAAGGGTTGGCGGCGAACCTGGCGCTCCTGCAGTCAGCTGGCCATGCCAACTTTGTGNCCAACAAGCGAGGAAGTGGTGGGAGTGCACAGCCAAAGTGGTGCTCCTACCACAACACCAAGGCACACAGCGATGCTGAGTGCGAGGAGCAAAAGGAGATCAGGGAAAACAAGCAAAAGGAGCTTGAAGGGTTGGCGGCGAACCTGGCGCTCCTGCAGTCAGCTGGCCATGCCAACTTTGTGCAACTCTCCAATATCGGGAGTGCTCACCTGGCGCAATCGTCTCCGGCGGTGGCGCAACAGGCTCCGTCAGAGCCGACTTCATTCGGGTTCTCCTTCAACGCCCTCGGAACTTCCTTGGCGGAGGCAACCTCGTCGTCTGCCTTTTCCCAGCCACCTCTGGCGGCGTCTGCCGCCACACAGGCGGCACCTGCATCTGCCTCATCAACGCCGAGTGCGCAGGAACGCCGACTGCCTTCAGGGTTCTTCGGTGCGTTCATGGCGACTCATGCAGACTTGTCGCTTGCTCCTTTTCGCTCCGACGGATCGTCCATCCGAATGGTTATAGACAGTGTAGCGGCAGATAGCTACCTCAACCCTGAGCTTGCACCAGGATTGCGGGCTCACATGCGCGACGTCGAACACCTTCGGGTCCCACACACGATCGTCGCCGCGGGCCACCATGTCCTCAAAGGGGCTGCGACGGGGACTATCTTCGGCGCCGTCACGGACGACAATGGGAACGACCAGCTCGTCTCATTTCGCGTCATCTTGGTACCAGGGCTTGGCACCAACCTCTTCTCCGTGACATTGGCGATGCTAAACNCGCGACGTCGAACACCTTCGGGTCCCACACACGATCGTCGCCGCGGGCCACCATGTCCTCAAAGGGGCTGCGACGGGGACTATCTTCGGCGCCGTCACGGACGACAATGGGAACGACCAGCTCGTCTCATTTCGCGTCATCTTGGTACCAGGGCTTGGCACCAACCTCTTCTCCGTGACATTGGCGATGCTAAACGGGGTGGCGACGTTGTTTCATCCGGACAATCCCAGGTTGGAGTCGGGGGACGTGGTTATCCCGACGCAAACCCTCGGGGTGAACGCCAAGACCGGAAAACGCATCTACTCCATCGAGGTGAAGCTAGGGGGTGAACCTGGGGGGCCGACGGTCCTTGAAGGCGCGCCTGATGCCCTCGCCTTGAAGGTGGAGTCCGCTGATCTCTTGGCACTGGCGCGTGGGGCACATCAAATTCAGGAGCTTGGACGTTCTAAGGAAAGAGCCGGTCAACGGCGTCGACTACACCGGAGACGTGAAGGACTGTAGTGTCTGCTCGCTCGGAACGAGCGCACAACAACCTCACCCAAAGCAGGCCACCTACGGCGTCCTGCGCCCGTTCCAGCACGTTTCCGTCGACACCCTTGGCCCCTTCACACCTACAGCGTTGGGCGGATTCAAGTATGCCACCAAGTTCGTGGACCAGCAGACCAAGTGGGCGGAAATAGTTCTCACGAAGTACAAGACCTGTTCTGTAGACTCCCTCGCGTTGTTTAACAAAAGGACCGTGGCTCCTACCGGCGAATGCATTCATTGCCTCCGTGGGGGTCAGGGCATATAATTCACGAGTGCGGAATCCGTAAGTACTGTCAAGCATCGACTCAAACACCTTCTGGACATCATCAGCAGTTTCAACGTCAACGACTTCATCAGCAACAAGTTCAAACAATCGTGTTTTTTTGTGTGTGTTACGAAGTATTTTTGCATCTGTTCTGTTTGTGCGAATCAGCGTAATCTCGGTAGTCAACATTCGGCCTGGCACCATCACTGGTTGAACGAGCCATGTAGGATTGAAAGTTATGGTGCTTTGGTTTATGCAAGAAATAGTAGCAGGTACTCTTTCCAAGCGCATGAAGGTATTGTAGCACGTGTAAAACATGAAATCTCACTTGGTACATTAGTGGTTGAAACGCATGAAACGAACGAGTTGCGTTACGCAGGAAACGAGTACTTGCTTGATTGATTTTTACACTGTGGTTTGGTACAATTCAGAGCAACTTTTATGAAAGGAGAGTGTTATGGAAATGTTAGCACATAACCAGTATTAGTCAACTTTCAGTAGCACTGCTCTTGTATATCGTAGATCTCATATGTGTCGGTTCGAACGTCTGTTCGAATGTGACGTATGTGCATGCGGAGGAATTACTCTCACAGGTAGCTCTGCGTGGTGCTTGGTAGCCGAGTAGCTCACTCTCTCGTGTGATCCTTCCGGATTGTATTGGCCAACCAAGTGCCAGTGTTCCAATATTTCAACATCTTCTTCACTCCGTGGAAGGACGCTCGTCTTCCAGGCTACCCTCTCGCACGTGTCATCACCTCCGCTAACGTTGACGACACAGCCTCTACACCACCGTGCCAGGGTATTATCTACACAATATCCTTTATATACAGTCCACGCGAGCAAGTGTGCAGTGCAAGTAGCAACTCGAGAGGTTACCAATAAAAGGGATATGCATCCTGTCGGTGTTTAGGGGCGAAGTTTCCTGCCGATGATGGTGATCTGGATGCTGGCCAATTGTGCTGCCTTAATACGGGGTGAAACTTTTGTCCCGCCCGAGGACAGGTGGACAGCGAGGATCGGTAGTGAAAGGTAAACTACGCGGGGTGAAGCAAGCCCGTCCTGGGCGCTACTTGGGGCACCGAGTAGTCGGCCGTGTTAGGCCGAGAGTGAGAGATTGAGAGAGAGATGGAGAGAGAGTGGGAGAAGGAAACTTGATTGGAGAGAGACGGCGGTAGCGGTGGAAGGAGAGAAGTAAGAAAGTGTGCGCAACACGCACGCAAGCCTCATCGTTCCTACCGCGGGGAAAAGGTCCCCGTGACTGCACCGGTGGCACCCTACAACACACGAAATTCCCAACACGTATCCCCTTGGGATCCTCACGACCAGATACTTCGGCGAGTATATCTAACAGGTAGAACCACAAGGTATGCAACACTATATACACAAGAACTCATTCTGGACACTCGTGAAATATGGATATAGTCTAGATGTTATCGGTATGTTTTGTGTGTGCAAGAAAGAAGCAGAGACAGCAAGATAGCCCGTGCTTCGGAATTATGTGTTGTGCGGCCTCTTCAGCATCCTCGTAAACAATGTAGCACTCCCCTGTGAGGTTGGAAACAAGTCGTCCATGTCGGTACCCAGCGAGGACGATCAGATTACATACACACAACGTACACAGGGAGCAACTGTTGTAGGTTTTAAGATTTGCATTCGCGGATCAAGATAGGTACCACCCACCGATCCCCGGGCAACCACTGTGCGCTAGACGTGTGGCCAACCATCCGAGCCGCTAAGAAACGGCCGTGGGACGCCCATGCACATCACCTGTTGTACAGTGCTATTTTCGATCCCACGATCCCACAACATTCTTTGGGCATTGCCTTTTGCATACGAATTATTGAAGCGCGTATGCACTAACTGTCTGTGTGACCCCTTCCAAGTAAGAGTTGCCAAGAGAGCGCCAACGCACCTGAGAGGAAACAAGCAAAATTCTGGGGTGTGCCGCTGCCGTGGCTACCAACCTAACACGACATTTTTTTTTTTATTTCGTCGTTCTCCTCTTCTTGTCGGACCGTGTGGACATGACACAAGCACTCAACGGGGGTGCGTATTGATGGATGGATGATCAACGGCAACGTGGTTGCATGAAGAGAGCGGTGTACTTGATCCTCATATGGTTTTCGGTGAGTGGTGGTTGCGTTTGCTACAGTCTAAAGCCACAGCTCCCTGTATAGAGTAGAGTTGGCCTAGTTGGCGAACGTCCCCAGCTTCTTGGTTCATTTTATGTACTGAAGCTCGGATCCCAGCATATGGTGTGTTGTTTGCGACTCAGCTTCAGCAGGCTGCCCAATGCCCATTTTTTTCTCCTACAATATGTACGGATGGATCGGTTAAAGAATTGCAATTTTCTTTTTTCGCGAGGGATTTTCTGTGTCTCCTGTTCTTCGGTAAGATCTGTTGTTTTTCGTTGGTTTCCTGCTGCTTGGTGTTGAGTTTTAGGCTGTGCTAATGGTACATCAGTTCGGTTGTCGGCATTGACGACCAGGGAATGAGAGGAATATAGGTAAGGGAACGATTCTCACGTTCTTAACGGGAAGTCACCGGCACCCAGCAACATTCCCGACAATGCGCTATTTGCCGTAGTATGGTACGTCATGGGTCGGTTGCCGACATTAGTCAGCGCCAGGACTTTTCCAGTAGTAGTGCAACAAGAGGTGCCCGTGGGGTGGACACAGCCAACGTCGGTGACCCCCAGAAGCCGGTCGAAAACTGTTTCGAGATGCCCTGTGATTCGTCGTCCTGCCAAGCTGGGCGTTTCCTCATGCAGGCTTTGTTTTTGCTCCCTCCCCGAGAAGCACACAACAGAAAAAGTTGGAGGTATGTGCCCGGCGCATCGACTGACGCTATTCAGAGGGACCGGCGCTATTCAATATACACAATGACTTGACTTGGTGATTCAGTCTTGGCCCAGGAATTTCACTGCGCTATACAGGGCCGCCGGCACAAATCAACCGGCCATATTGACGCTCCCCCACTGTGCGTCGAAGTTTGAGAACAGTATCGAACTGGTGCGAGCCTCTCTCTTAACCTTTTCGGGCTGTTGCCTCCCACGTCATCGCGTAACTCGCCCTACCCGAAAAGGTTACTTTTGGTGCTCTTGGCGTTGCGGGTGAGGAGAGTCGGAACAGGGTTGGAGGGGGCTTGGGTTCGACAAATTTTTCGTACCGAGACGGCGCCTTCGTTCAGGTACAATGTACGTAGACTTGACGGTTACCGTGTGGCTTTGGGGATACAACATTTCCATGTGTTGCGGAGGTGAATTGTACATGTGGTCAGCAGCCAACCACACCCAGAACATTGAACAGGCTGAAGGTATGTGCGCGTCGTCGAAAGCGTCGTAGGGCACTTAATTTGCGCGTTCTTGCACGCGCTATATCTGTCGCTCTCTTTTCTTCGTTGACCATCTCGTATTCTTCATCCTCCATTGAGATAATAAGAATCTGCGTGAATAATGCCCCTCATAGCCACTACCAGCACCTATCTATGCCATTGTTGTCAAGATCCTCTCCCCGGAAAGGTGTATCACAAGGTTTGGGCCGGACGGAATGCTTCTGGTTGAACTCTTCGCGTTTTGAGCAACTGCCGCGAGGGTACTCGATGCATTCACGCCGATGTATGCCCACACCTGTGTGCATGCGCATGCGCGACATTCACTTTTTTATGTGTTCTGAGGAAAACTATCACAGGGCAAAGGGTGCCCTCAGGCGATCTCCGAAAATGAAGCGAGAGCCATAGCGACGGACGATGCTTGGCCGGGCGGGGTCACTACTCTCTCCAAAGCCACTCTTGACTCGATTGGTGAGAGAAAACAGATCAGATGTTGTATTTCATTATGTTTTTGTGTCATCCATCCGGCCGGAGGTGTACTGACGAAGTGCGACGCGAGAAAAACACGCAAGCGTTGAGCTCGTTTGTTGGAGCCTGGTACGCATTCCGCCTTGTAATTGTTTTCGGCTGTGTGGCCTTGAATGGTTTTCAGACGAGCATTGACGATATTTTCGTTTCATTCCGCGAGGACAAGTGCTTGACTTACATGCCATGACGATGTAATTCGCATTGTTGTGAAGCTTGGAGATGGTGCGATCTTGTTGACACAACAGGAGATATATATGAGGTAACCCGCATTTCATTCCCGGCTAGCTCGAAAACAGAGAGTACGAGTTGGCACGCCTTGTTGAGACTTCCAGGTTACGATATCACCTTCGGTGCGATGGGATACCCAAGCTTCGAGTAGGGTACATCATACATACTTCTTTGTAGGTTCAGTTGAAATATGGAAAATCTTTTACGCGTGCATTTTTGCGCGGTATTGGCGGGCTTTTCAAGCGCATCTAGTCACTGGGCTACATTACTTCACTGCTGTCCTCGTATCTCAGGCCGGAGTGGAAACCATTTCGTGGTAGTATCCAGAGCGCTCTCCATGGCCTTCTGCTGCAAGTACAAGGTGGTAAGCAGGAGACCGAAGCAAGGGCAGACGCTTTTGTCAGCGTTGTGTCGTAGGTTACATGCGTAGGCCGCCCCTGCGATGTAGCCAGGACGGTTTTAGGCGCGCGGCCATAACAGAAGGGTTACGCGCATGACGGGCAGAACGATGACGGGTGCTGCGTCATTTTCTTGCGCTCCTTGACAACGTGTTGTTGAACCGCGCAGCAGGAAATATGCCCGGTGAATGTGTCATGGACATGGTCTCGCGCGCGTTTGCTGGAAACTTTAATCCTCGGCAATCGTTCCCTCTTGCCCCCTGAATGAATACTGGACCCACGAAAGCTGACACTTCCCAGCGAGGACAGCAAGTTTCCTACCGACGACGGTTCGCAGATGCAGCTGCCACGCCACCAGTTTAGCTTCTCTTCGGCAGGGACAGACGTGCCAACGCTTCCGGGCGCCGAAGACCTCCCCTTCCGGCCCGACGTCTGCCCCCCAGAAAAAGAAATCAACGGGACCTACGACTTTTTTCGAGGTTGAGAGGCGCCGCGTGAAAACTATCTATAGGGCGTTCTGGCGTGATGGTCGGAGGTGATGTGGATCGCTACCTGTCGTCAGTTGTGTGTTTAGAGGAGCGCCACAAGGATTATTAACCATGCCGGAAAGTATTTGGACAACTACTGGGGAAACCTTGCGCCCACGGCTTGTCTACGAACATGCCTGACAACCGTCCAAGCTCACGGTTCCCCAAGATTGTCGCGTGTGACGCAGTTCGGTCTACGGATGGGTTGCTCCATGCAAGGGGTCAACTCGCCCCTGCCCCCTCTTCCGTGCTATTGCGCCCGTTCTATCCAGAGGTTCACGACGACTTGCGCAGCTGCATGGAAAACGTGTTCCTGTTAGGATGCGAGGAGCACTACCTTCACGCCCTGGTCGGTACCGGTGGCGACGATGACGTGTGCTCGCAGCCACGTCGATCGCTTGAGGAGAAGGATCCACTCGATTCTCAAGCACCGGGTATTTCCCTGAGAGCACCAGGGCCCTTCGGAAGGAACGACTCTGCAAACGTCCACGTCAACGGAGAAGAAAACCCAGGCACTCTCGTCATTCACATCCGTTCCGGAGACATTTTCAAGCCAGAGAAGGAAGGGTGGCACGGCATGATTTGGTACGGTCAGGTGCGTTACTCCATAGTGGAAACACCCGGTCGTTGCTGGTTTTCGATACTGAAAGGGCTGTACTGCAAATCGTCTCCGTCTCCAATGGAACGACAGAGCCTCTTCGTCGTCCTAGTCTCGTGCAGTAGATGCCCTGTAGGGTAAGGACCGTTGAGCTGATCACCAGCCAATTGGCGCCAGAACGGCGTTTTGAGGGAGCACTCTGGTTCCTGCCATAGCGAAATGAAGTACTCACGCAATCTACAACGTGTATTTCGGTCCACATGCCTCACGCGCGAAAGTCAAGTTTTCCGTTGTATGCTGCATACGTAAACCCTTGCGCTCTCGGATGGACGACACAGCCACCTCTGCTGTTTTACGAGGACGTTATGTCGAGCGCACCATGGGTGCAAGTTGACATCATCTCGAACGCCAATGGTGAAGAGCATCAGTTGAACCCCACGTTTGGAGTGCTAGAAGACCTGGCGAGCCGGGGGCTCTTGCAACTGAACGTCACTACACATCAGGTGGGTATGTAGGTCTGTGGTGCCACTGCTGTCTACTGTAGATCATTTTCCGCTTTAGAACGACCAACCAGACTGTCCCCAGTACTGTCCAGTTTCCTCAAAACACCACAGGGTTATGTGCGCTACTTTATTGTCCTGCGACTAAGCAGCCCCACGCGATTGTGTACCCGTAATATGACTCTCCACACCCTGAACTTAGCCGTAAGTCGTGGTTCACAGTAGGTGAAACTGTCTTGATTCTTGTTTGCGGCCTACGCCACTTATTTATCGGGTGAGACTGTTTTGGTGATGTATTAACTTCACGGGAGGTAGACGACCGTCCTTCACAAGGACGAAAGAGGGAGTACTCAAAGAGCGGCTCCCACAGCAAGGAGGGGCCCCGACAATCATCGCGGTGCCCCCTACCAAAACGGTAATCTTACCGGTCTGCGTGACACAAAATCATCCAGCACATGTATCCAACAGCAATGTTCGCAGACTCACGAACACCCTCCCTGGTTCTTCACGAAAGTGACTAACCATCAATTGGGCAAGAACGCCCCAGGATACATTAGAAAATACCAACATGGTAACATATGGAGGGGAAACCCGGCGTCCGGGCAAAACCCCTCAAGGAAAAACCCTTCCACCACAAAAAACCGTCGCTATCACAGCGGCTTACAACGGCCGCACTTACCGAAAAATCCAAGGCAAGTGCTAAAAACTGCTGCATCTACTCCGGCAAATTCATCAGCTTGCGCCGGTGGTACTGCAGACTGACCCTGCTAAGGGCCTTGGTAAGGAGGTCCGCGTGTTGCTCCGTTGTCGGAACAAACTTGACCGAAATATCCCCCGACCTAAACAATCCTCGGATGAAATGATACCTCACGTCGATGTGTTTCGTGCGACCTGAGCTGAGGGGGTTCTGCACCAACGCTATGGCCCCCTGGTTGTCCTCAAGGACCTTGATGCTGCTACCACTGGTCTCTGGGGCGACAAACGAAAGCACAGCACGCACAAACAACGCCTCCTTGACACCCTCCCCGGCAGCAATGTACTCGGCTTCCGTTGAAGACAAAGAC